TGAGGGGTGAGGGGTGGTATGGCTCTGCCTTTGAAACTGAACCATATAGGTGTCAATAAAGTCGGTTAATTTGGCAGGTTTTTTTTCTGTCCCTGATCCTGTGGGCAGGATAACGAAGTAAATATTGCCGTGGGTGGGTCTAGGATTTGCCAGACGCAGATGGTCAGTTTGGAGGCGCGATCTTTATTTTTCATTTTATACTTACGGACTTTATAGCTTTGCGTGCAATGGAGAGACAGGTGGTATGTTTATAGCCCTACTTCCGTTTCCGGCATGTGTGCTTTCATGGATACCTGCTTAATCCCAGTAGGCAGTAAATATGTGTTCAATTCCCTTGCAGGGAAATGCCTTATCCAGTATCTCCATCGTTTTGCTGGGATGTATCCTACTACTTAGTCTTGGCAGGCAGGGTCGTTACAACCCGCCTCATAAAGTGCCTAAATCGGGGCGGTAGGGACGTAAACCATTTACAATAAGTCGAATCAAAATTGCTTTATAAACTCAATAAAGATGATTTTGTTGGTAATTCCACTGACATGTTAGAATTTAGAGTACAAGTGTACAGAAGTGTACCGTAACTGTACAGAAGACAAAGTAAGAGAGTCGAGAACAGATGCGTAGTGTCCACGGCAGGGAATAATTATGGCTTAGAGTTGGCTCCTGGTCAGCGAGGTAAATCTGCTCCTGTTGAAAAAAAAGGAACTCTTTTTATCACCCGTCATAGCTTTAGTAAGCGAAGGGCACGAGAAGAATACTTTTGCAGGACCCATTCTTCAGTGCACTAGATATGGACTGTCAAATGTAAAAAAAGACAATTTTTCTAGGATTTATTCGCCCCCGTTGACGCAGTTTCGATAATTTGGATAGCTGCTGGGTTTCGATGATTTTGTCTGCCAAAGCCAGATACACGATAAAAGTTTCTTTTTCACACGGGAATTGAATTCAGACCTTCCACATGCGACAACGAAGCGTCCGTTACACCACAGAAACAGGTTGCAATCGCTGCACTTTAGTTCTTTCCCGATACCAATAAATATCATTGTTTTATCAGAGATCAAACTCATTAGTTGGTTCGTCATTTTTATGAAGCAACAAGTGGACAGACAGACAGACAGACAGATACATAGAAATATTATAT